CGTAGTTCTTCTCAATCTCTGGTGCCACAACACTTGGCTGATCAGCTAATATTAACACTTTTGGCAGGAGGTACTAACTGGAGGTATGCAGCCCAGGATTGAAAGGTTCAGTGTAATTGCGCCCGTCATATAGGAGCATCTGGATGATGTTACTAAAATGGGATATCCAAATTGACACCCTGGATGGTGTTGGTTTTTTGTGCTTAAAACTGTCGATACGTGACATGAAATAGAATATTTTTGTACGGTTAATGTTCTTCTGTGGTCAGTTTTGAGAAAAAAAAAAAACTTATTTTTTATTGCTGACTAATGGACTGTAGTATTAGATGGTTCTCACTCTCAGGATTTAGCAGCTAAGCTCAATCTGTAGTGAACAAACCACATTTTCTGTGTAGGATTTGTTGACCACTCAGTAGTCACTTTCTGCTGCTGCTTATGTGTGTGTGTGTGTGGGTGTGTGGGTGTATGTGTGTGTGTGCGTGTGTGTCACCACCTCGTTTCCGAATTTGTCACTCCCCGACTGTTTTGAGGTACTTTACCGACAATTATTAAGCATTTTACCCGGAATTAATTCTTCCTGGAATCAGCTATAAAAGTTAGACAAGTTTTGGAAGGCCTATTTCCCTGTGTGTCGTTGCAACTGCGAGCATATTTTTGAGATTTCTCCTTCTTACGCATAAGTAAATTATGTCTAAAGTTAAGTCAGCCTTCCGCCACCCCCTCCCGCCTCTTCCCCGTCCGTCCTTCCCTTACGTTAACTGTCTATGAGAGACGGAAGTACTGGAAAATAGCTGGAGTGGTAACTCATGCGAGCATGATTTGTGTAGTTTATCTGTAATTCCTTTTTTTAAGCCATTCATTGTCAGGTGAAGCATTAGTACCGATGATTATTTGATAGCCAGTAGTAGTTTTCATCTGAACAGTTGGTCAGTATTTGTGATTGCTAGGTTCACCTTTCACCGGTGATTGTGTGGTAAGCTGTTGGTGAAGCAAAGTTTGGCCTAGCAAAAATTTTTATGAATTTAATCCAGAGCGACCACCTCACTTGGACCGTCCATTTTTCATTCAGCAATCTAATAGCCCTTACATTTCTATGTAATATGCAGTTTTTGCCTTTTTCTCAGCACCCGATGCTTTTTGCGGTCTTTCACTCTTTCCTGGAGCCTGGCTGGATTTAGTAATGCCAGTCCTTGTCATCTAGGCTTAAAACGGTGACCCTTCGGTGAGAAAGTGAAAACCGTGGATGCGCTGACCTTTCTCATCGCTCTGTAATGGTAATTAGCCCTCATTTCTCGGTGGATGTTGCTCTAGAGGAAATTACGTAGTGTGTCAAGTATTTTATATGTTACAACTTTAGTTTGATTCCATAATTAGGTCCTTCCCAGTAACTTGCATATTTTAATAAGTTTTAGTAATTATGCGTTTCAGTGTGCGCCATCGCATCCTCTGCTTTTTTATGCAATTTTTTTTGTAAAGAATAGTATTTCAATCGGTGCTTCAGTAATTGTGTGGCTAATTGCTGATTTCTTCCAGTGCCATATTTGTATTTTTTTTTTGTAGCTTATGCACTGATTGTACGATTTTGGCTTGCGGTTTTTGCAACAAATAAAAAAAAAACGTCCAAGATTTTGTTACTCGGGCTAATGGTTACTTGTTTTGACTTTCTGTTTGGCCGTGGATTTTATGTTCTAAAAAATTCCGGCTTCCTAAAGTTTATAATTTCGGATTTTATTTATTCAACTTCATACAGGCTCACAGGCACATAGATAATGCAGTGCTTAGATGAAGTCCAGCAATTGTGGCCCGGACCATATGTATATAAATAGAAACTTCAAAATATATATATATTTTGAAGCTGTATCTCATGGCAAAGCGTATGCTCTGGGCTTTGTTCTTTCGGGTTACGGACGTGAACGGATCAAGCAGGTGAGGTTGAACCAGGGCATCATGGTGCGCAACTTTTCTAAACCCAGGCTGGAACGCACTTGGCTAGCCGGTGCAACCAGGCGTTTTTGCTCAACTTTTTACGCAGGCTTTACTCAGGAGCGAATGCGTGTTGCAGCGAACACCCTTCTCCAGCATCCACTTCCAGTTCTTCACTGAAAAAATGGAAGTGTTGCTAGAGCGGCCTTTCGTCAAAAAATTCAAATATTTAAATGAACTGGATGTCTGAGAGAACAAGGACGATCCGTCGCTGCAAAATGCACTCATTTCTAACTTTGTCGTAAAGTTGAGTATTCGTCATACCCACCTGCTGGGAATTTCACTTCCAAGCAAAATTAAGACCGCACTAGAAAGTAGAATATCTCAGCGAAGTTTCAGCTTTACACATTATCCGGTAAGGGAAATAGTCACTTCGCTACAAATATATTTGAACTGCCCTAAGTCGTGGCGCAGGTGCAAATCGGGACTCATTTTAGGTAGACGATTTCCCATACGAACGATAAATATTCTACAAAATTCCAGCCACTGTTTCCCGGCTATTTTTTGAGTTACCAGAGTTCCACGTGCAAGTTTGATGTGGCCGTACGCGCTGCACAAGCGTGCGCAATGGCTGAATTTGAAATCTTTAGCTAATAGAAGCACATAGAGTGTGCCTACAAAGTTCCAGTTTTCTAACTTGCCTGGTTTTCAAAATTATTTCCGCCAGAGAAATTTGCATATTTCTTTCGGGGATACGTACGAAAGATCTAGGCGCGTATGAGTGAAAGTCTTAAAACCGGAGGGTGACACACGAGGTGAAGTATGTCCCAAATTTCAGCCTCCCAGTTTTCCCGGTTGCTGATTTGAAAGTGGGTGACAAAGTTCACTTGTTTTCGAACACATACACAAACGAGTTCCCGACAGCATGCGTTTTTGCTCGCGGCAGCATCGCTATAGGCAAAAACTCATTTAAAAGACCGTAGTTTTTTTCGTGGCCCCCTTTTTGGATTGTAATTTGCGACTGTTGTCTTGTACATGTATAACACATGTAAATACCTACATACAGCCATTCGCCGTTGTAATGTTTTTATTTTGATCAGGAGTCGGCCTGCACTTGTTTGGAGATGGGACTATGTTGTGGACTATTAACGTATGTGGACTGCAAACGAAAGTAAGCAAATGTAACCCATGCGTATCTTATGCGAAGTATCCCTTGCGTTATTTACGAGTATTCTACACTTATCCCCTACAGGAGTATTAGATATACCATGTAGAATTTTCAGGCATCCTCTACAACTCGTTCTATATGTCCACAATTTGTCGATATTTCGTACAGATGACCCTGTATCCTTCCGCTATCCTTCCGCTTCCACATCCCGTGCATAAACAGAGCACAAAGATGAGGCACTGGTACATGTACGGCATAGCTGCAGTACGTGTATGCTTATGTTTGTATGTATTTTGTGATAACCGCTATTGAGAGAAATGTATTTACGGATCTATACAGCAGTAGGATGTTTAAACAGGAAATGGAGTTGATTGTCCAGTCCCTGTCGTGCATAGAATGCGTTGAATTGTAGTTTTTTTTCTTTTCGAAATATCGTTGAGAGGAAAATCATATCGTTCTGAATTCTTGCAAATTCAGCTTACAGGGCCATAACAAAGTTGGAAAGCTGTAACGTAGCCGCTGTAAGCTTTGTGTCTCAGTTTCGATAGCTT